TTCAACGCGAAACTCGAGGAAATTTCCGTCTCATCCAACGGCTCACCGCACCTCTCCTTGGTTGCTGCCTTTTGAAATGGGAAATAAAGGAAAAGGGGCCGGGAGAGCCATGCGAAGGATAGATGGGGTCTGAATTCTACACTGCCACAATGTGCCGGAATAACGGGGATGCTTCTACTTCTATTTGTACCCAATATTTTTTACTTTTTACGTAACTTATATTGTATGGATACACGACATCCTAATAAATATCCTAATTTTAATAATTGAGTTTAGACTTTTGGTTTCGGATTGTGACCAAATAAATTGGGTTAGATTATGTATAAATCTATTAGAAAACTCGACAACGACCCTTATATTCTTACTCTTTCGTGCATAATAGCTTCACATTTTTAGAGCGTGTTCATACTTCAATCATGCTCTTGATCATTACTTTGCACGAACCTAGTATCAAAGACAAATATTTTGATTCTGAGCTGACATAACTTTGTTAGTTTTATGATATGTAATTATAGTTACTTTTGTGATATGGTATTATATGAATCCTTCTGTCAAGATAAAGTAGATTGTTAGTTTATGAAGAATCGAAAATGATAGGTTTGGCCTGTAAATAATACGAACTTAGTCTTTTAAGTTTCTAGATGACTATACATATCTCTCAACTCAATCACAAGAGTTCGGGTGTCAAGTCATTTGACATGATTAATCAAATTGGTTGAGTTAGGGTTGACTAGAGTTCGAGATGGACACAAAGTGAGGAATAGAGAGCTGGAAAATTTGAAATTGAAGATCTATTATGTGAAAAATCATGGTAACTATGAGAATGTGAGGACAAAGATAGTTGAGTGACCAAACTATGCAAAGGGCTTATAAGAGGTTGAGTTACTCTCCATATTGTTAATTAGTTTTATGGTGGAACCTTAGCTTTCTTCATGGTATCCGAGTAGGTTGACCCACGTGTAAAGCCCAATGGCCACATGTGCTCACAGCACCTTGTTTGTATTATCCACATGTTAGGCTTGAAAATTCGCCACACGTGAGGGGGGCGTGTGAGAATGTGAAGACAAAGTCCCACATTGGTGAGGGAACAATCCATACAAGGGCCTATAAGATGTGGGACTATTCCCTATATAACATATTGCTAATTAGTTTTATAGTGAAATCTCAACTTTTATCAGTAATAGTGCATGAAAATGATGATATCATAAAAATTATTAGTGAAGCGTGATCTTAACAGTATATAATGAATGGTCAGATAGTGTGCCATGTGTCAATGGATTAGTAGGTTTGTTATAAGGAGGTTAAGGCAGTTATAAGGTGTCTTAGTGAACAAGCTAGAGTGTAGAATATATAACAAATGTAATGATTGTAATTTAATGATATAGAAAATATTACAACAATTCATTTCTCTCTTTTTCTACATTTCTTTCCTTATCTCTCTAAAACCTTCACCGTCATTTCTGCATTATTACATTTCTGCAACATAATCAGTTGCTTTACATGGTATCAGAGCCGATCGAGCTCTTCTTGCTTGAAAGGTTATCTCGATCTTGGATCTCTTGCTTCCGCCGCTCCAGATCTTCTTATTCTTCTCTGATATCTTGGATTTCTTGGTTTCGGAACTTCAATAGTTTCCCTATCTTGCAATTGTTCATCTTTACAATCGTGTCCGCCAAGTGTTTGATATATTTCCTGTGTGAATTTTTCTTCAGCAAGCTGCAATGGTGATTGCTACTCAACTACAAATTGTGCAATCGCCAATCACCTCTCTTATTTCTATCGTTTCTACGTCGGTCACTGTCAAACTTGATGATTCCAACTATCTCACCTGGCATTTTCAGATGCAATTGCTACTTGAAGGTCATGGAATTATGGGGTTCTTGGATGGCTCTCTTCCTTGTCCTGCACGGTTTATTTCTTCTGGTTCTGGGGAGTCTGATGTCAATTCTGGGGATTCATCATCAAGAATTGAAACAAATGAATACAAGGTATGGAAAATGCATGATAACGCTTTGATGTAGCTCATCACTGTGACACTTTCCCCATCGGTTGTATCTTGTGTCATTGGCAGCACAAGTGCTCGAGAACTGTGGATTCGGCTCAAAAGACAATTCTCCATTGTTTCTCGTGCAACCATATTCCAAATGAAGTCTGAGATACAAAATATCAAGAAAGGCCCTGATTCCATATCCCAGTACTTGCAGCGAATCAAGGAAACTCGTGATTATTTGGCAGCTGCAGGAGTGCATTTCGAAAATGATGATATTGTCATCTTAACTCTTAATGGATTATCGGGGGAATACAATACCATCAGATCCATCATTCGAGGCCGAGAAAGTGTAATCTCTCTCAAAGACTTGAGATCTCAGTTGCTTGCTGAAGAAGCAATGGTTGAGAATACTGCTGTTACACCATTTCTTTCTGCAATGGTGGCCAAGAATTTTGAATCTGGTTCCAAGAACTCGTCTTTTCCATCCAACGGGTATTCTGGTGGTCATAATCAAGGGGGTCCTGCAAACTCGAGTCAAGGGTATTCGAGCACTCAGTCTTTTGGTTTTTCTGGTGCTCAACCTATCTACTTCAAGAACAATTACAACAAGAACAAGGGCAGAGGTAAATTCAACTATAATACTAATTCTCGATCTGGGAACTCTAGAAATGTCTACAATACTTCTGCTTCCGGTATTCTTGGTGCATCTCCCTCACAATTAGCCTGTCAAATATGTGGAAAATTGGTCATCTTGCTGATACATGTCAATTCAGAAATATTGAGGCCGTTATAGTTGAAGGGTGTCAGATTTGTGGCAAGAAGAATCACACTACTCAGTTTTGTCATTTTCGAAATGCAAATATTTCTGGCACCACCCCTCAAATGACTGCAATGCATGTCAACTCCTCACTATCCACTCCAACATTAAATGCTTCTTCTCAGCAGTTTTGGCTTACAGATTCAGGAGCAACAAATCATCTCACTGCAAACTTGCAAAATCTTTCCTTGGCTACACATTTCCCATCCACAGAGACCATTCAAACTACCAATGGTGCAGGTTTATCAATTTCAGATACTGGTTCATCTGTCACTCATACACCTACTCAAAAATTGAAGCTTAATTCAGTGTTATATGTTCCGAGAATTACTCAGAATTTGTTATATGTGCACAGAATCTATCTCGATAACAATTGTTGGTTAATTTTTTATGCTTTTAATTTCTGGATTCAGGACAAAGCCACATGGAGGATTCTGTACAAGGGGAAGTGTAGTAATGGGCTATATGCAATACCAATATCCAGACCAACTGTGCTCAAGCATGATTTAAAGCTGCATTTCTTGGACAGCAAGTGCATTCCAGTTTCTGGCATAGCAGACTAGGTCACCCCTCAAATTCTATTGTCTCCACTATACTTAGAAAATCTAATATTCCAGTATCTTCTAATGTATTACCTTCTTTGTGTCATTCATGTTTCCAAGGCAAATTCAGCAAGTTACCATTTTCCCCATATGTGTCAAAATCTATAATTCCTTTTGAAATAGTGCATAGTGATGTATGGGGTCCTGCTCCCTATACCTCTATTGATGGATACAAATATTATGTGACATTCATTGATGAATGCACTAGATATTGTTGGCTATTTCCTTTGCATAATAAAAGTGAAGTCTGTTCTATGTTTGTTCGGTTATATCAATTCATTTTCAATCACTTTGCAGTCTCTATTAAAATCTTACAGCGTGATGGGGGTGGGGAGTATACAAGTAATGTTTTTCAATCATTTTTGATAGATAAATGAATCACTCATCAAATTTCATGTCTTTATACTCGAGAGCAAAATGGACTGGCAGAAAGAAAACATAGACATATTGTTGAAACCTCAATCACCTTGCTACAGACTGCATCCCTACCTGCATATTTCTGGTCTTTTGCTTGTCAAACTGCAATATACCTTATCAACTATAAACAACCAATCCCCATTTGAGGTTCTTTTTCAATCTGTTCCAGATGTTCAACACTTGAGGATTTTTGGTTGTGCATGTTTCCCATTGTTAAAGCCTTATACTAGTAACAAATTGCAACCTAAAACCAACATATGCATTTTTCTGGGATATGCATCCAAGTACAAGGGGATATATTCGTTTTGACGTTAGCTCAAAGAGATCTTACATCTCGAGACATGTGATATTTGATGAGTATGATTTCCCATATTCCTTTCTTGTCCAAAAGTCATATATCCATTCACAGAGGTCTAGTTCTCAAAATCCAGTGAGTTCAGTATCTGTTACTAGTAACAATACAATTGTTAGAGCACCATCAAATCTTTTTGTGTCTAGTCCTAGTGTTACACCTACCTCTGCCAATGCCAGATTTCTTCATTGCCTAAATACACTGGATCCTTCTCAGTCAACATCAACAGAAGACACAAGACAACCCATTACTAGCACTTCACCCCAGTGTACTTCCTCTACCATCCCTATGGTTCCTGAGTTTCAACTAGAAACTTTACAAGTAATTCTTCCTATCCCTCCATTAAAGTTACACCCTATGCAAACAGGATCAAAGAGTTGAATTGTCAAGAAGAAAGCATTCCTTGCCATGGCCTCTGAGAATGCAGAAGTGGATTTATCTCAGATTAAGCCAGTTTCTTACAAATCTGCTATGAAATCTCCAGTATGGTTTAAAGCTATGGAGGAGGAAATACAAGCCTTACATTCTCAGCACACTTGGTCCTTGGTTCCTTTACCATCAAACAGAAATCTTGTGGGGTGCAAGTGGGTTTTTAAGATAAAGAGGCATGTCAATGGAACTATTTCAAGATACAAGGCTAGACTTGTGGCCAAGGGGTTCAATTAAGAGGCAGGTATAGATTATGGTGAAACATTCAGCCCTGTAGTTAAGCCTACTACAGTGAGACTTATTCTTGCATTAGCTGCACAGTTTGGTTAGGGTTTAAGACAGCTTGATGTCAAAAATGCATTTTTGCATGGAATCTTGCAAGAAGAGGTATACATGGCACAACCTCCTGGTTTTGTGGATTCTATCTATTCATCATCAGTATGCAAACTTCACAAGTCTCTATATGGTCTCAAACAAGCCCCAAGGGCATGGAATGAGAGGTTTACTAATTTTCTGCCTTCTCTGGGGCTTCAAACAACTTATGCAGATACGTCCTTGTTTGTCAAACACACTGAATCTGGGGTTGTCATCCTCCTCCTTTATGTGGATGATATAATCATCAGAATGAGTGCAACAACTATCATTTCAGAAGTCATTTCTGCATTAGCAACAGAATTTGATATCAAGGATCTAGGCTCACTCCACTATTTTCTTGGAATTCAAATTACACAAACTGCAGAAGGGTTATTTCTATCTCAGCATAATTATGTTAATGATTTGTTGACAAAGACAGAAATGCATCAGTCAAAGCCTTGTGCTACTCCTTGCCTGCCTCATAATCGGCTTCTAAAGGATGATGGAACACCATTTGATAATCCTGCGTTGTACAGAAGCATCGTGGGAGCATTACAATACCTCACTTTCACAAGACTCGACATTGCATTTTTTGTGCATCAAGTCTGTCAGTTTATGCATTGTCCCATGAAGTCACATTACTTGGCTATCAAAAGGATATTACGATATCTTAAAATGACTCAACATTATGGTATTCAATATGTGAAAGGTGAGTTGGAGTTGAATACATTTAGTGATGTTGACTGGGCAGGGGATCCCAATGACAGAAGATCCACAACTGGATTTGTTGTTTTCCTAGGGACTAATCCAATCTCATGGTCATCCAAGAAGCAAAATACAGTATCTCGCTCATCAACGGAAGCTGAGTATAGAGCCATTGCTACAACAGCTACTAAGATAGATTGGATGAAACAGATTCTTGCATTTCTGCAGATTGACATATCAATTCCATCAACAATGTTTTGTGATAATTTGTCCGCAATTGCTCTTACCTGCAATCCAGTGATGCATCAAAGAACCAAACATATCGAGATTGACGTGCATTTTGTTCGGGAAAGGATTGCTAAACAATTACTTCACATGGAGTTTGTATCCTCTACTAAGCAATTTGTTGATATCCTGACAAAGGGGCTGTCTGCACCGTTGTTCCATGCTCATTGTTGCAATCTCAGGCTTCGTGATCCTCCTCCTGAGCTTGAGGGAGGATGTTAACAGTATATAATGAATGGTCAGATAGTGTGCCATGTGTCAATGGATTATTAGGTTTGTTATAAGGAGGTTAAGGCAGTTATAAGGTGTCTTATGATGCGAACTAAGTAAGCACACAAATTAAAACCCTCTTGTGACAATTGTAGTAAAGATGCAAGTAGGGATCGTTCTAGACCGGGGATTAGGAGGGATTACTAAATCACTTGGACACTGACTCAAAAACGTAAAACAAACATTAAAAACACTAAACTAGACTCAAAGAATGCAAAACTAAACAATAAGACACTAAAACAAACCAAAAGACTCAAAGAATACAAAACACTTATAAACACAAATTAAGACACTTTCTAACTAAATTAGACACTAAGGTAAAGGGGGATTGTGGTTTTGACGAAAATAAATTAAATGCACAAATTGTAATTTACAGGCAGAATTTAAATATGAATGTGATGAAATATGGAATGAATGCTAGCTAGAAGGTTCTTCTCCATACATGTCACACTTGCATACACTTTGATTTTCAGTTGGTCTTTCGATAAATTATGAAACTCAACGCCCCAAATTAACCGTGAATTGCACTAATTAACCCTCAGTTTTTCCACAAGTTATTAAGTTGGATGATTGCATACGACAACCCAAAACATTCCCTACAAGTTCCCTACATGAATTGCATAATAGAGATACAAGCAAGAATCATTAAGTTCTATGAAAAACATAAGCATTGACGAAGCATTCGTTACTATGAATTGCATGAAACTTATGCTAAGAATTCATTCAACGCGATCGTTTTCAAGCGACCTTTACTACTTGTGATTATAAGATTGTAACTATTAGGTGAAACTCCCTCATAATCTAGCATCATATTCATGCATGAAAATTAAGCGTGCACTCTCAATCAACATACATAAATAAGTTATCGATCAAGCAGTTAAACAAATTGAATCCACAACTTATGAAATTCCAACCAAATATAATCAATTCATATTGCAAGCATAAACATGGTTTCGAATCACCCCCTAGCTAACTAGGGGGATTTAGCCTCTCATGTTCACAACAAGAAAAATAAAATTGAATTTAAACATAAAGAACAAAGGATGGATTACACCTAGAACGCCCAACGAATCCACTTGAATTTCTGCGCGTCTAAGTCCTCTTTCCTCTTCTCCTTGATGCGGCAGTGAGGCTAAATGGATGATTTGGATGTTATTTTGGGTTGGGGATGGATTTAGGGAGGATTGGTGGTGCGGCTGTGAAGGGAAATTATGGGATGGTGGCTACGGCTTTTGGAGAGAATAATGGCGGCTGTTAAGGGAAAAATAGGGTGGATGTGTGTGGCGGCTTGGGGAGTGGCAGGGAGAACAAAGTGCGGCTGAGAAGGTGATGCTGGAATGGATGGTGATTGGCGGCAGAGAAGAAAAATGGGTGCAGGTGGCTGCGGCAGGATGAATGATGTGTTGCGGCTGTTAGTCAATGGGAGCACGGCTTAGAATGAAATTAGGGTGGAATAATGGGAAAAGAATGGAGTGCACGGCAGGTAAGAAAATAAAAATGGGATGGTGCTGCTAAAGGACAAAAGAATGGGATATGGTGGCTGCGTGAGATGGAGGAAAAAGTGGAAGTGGCTGCACGGTTAGTGTTAGGGTTTTTTTAAGATGGAATACACGGCTAGGGTAGATGATGCGGCTAAGAAGAATAAAAAATGATATATGGTGCTGAAATAAGGAATGGCATGCATGGGATTTATGGGAGAATTTGGGAGAGTCTTTTTGGGAAGTCATGGCTGAGAAGAAAATATAAAAATCTAGTGGCTACGGCTTAGGGAATGAATTATGAGAATGAATGGATTCAATGGCTTACGAAAATAGGAAATTAAAACATAAATATAAAGGTGCAGCTAGGAAGGGAAATAGGGCTAGGGCCTTGGTTTTGTGTCCTAAAGTGCCTATAAGGCCGTCAAAGTGGCTAGAAAATACGGATGTTTAAGTTTAGGAAAGGTTACCAAAACGGGAAACTTAGGGTTAACTTTCCTAAAATAGGAAACCTTGTTTGAGTAGGATTCCTCGTTTTGGTAAGAATTCATCGTTGGAGTATGAATTCGTCGTTTCTTCAAGTCTTCAACTCATTCATTCCTCTTTCGCTCCAAAAGACTCCAATTTGCATCTTCTTGCACACTTTGGCCTTATAATCTGAAAATACACAAAAGTGGCCTTAAACACTAAAACAACTAAATAAACACAACATAAATGCACGAGAACAAGCTAATTAAGTCGCATGAATATGCTCCTATCATTTTAGTGAACAAGCTAGACTGTAGAATATATAACAAATGTAATGACTGTAATTCAATGATATAATATTACAACTATTCATTTCTCTCTCTTTCTACATTTCTTTCCTTACCTCTCTAAAACCTTCACCGTCATTTATGCATTATTACATTTCTGCAACATAATCAGTTGCTTTACATGTGAGAGGACTTTCTTAAGTTTAGGAGAGAAAACTAATAGAGAAAAATGAGATTTTATACAAGAATTGTAACAGCTCATGTGGAGCTAGGCGTAAGGAAAGGGAATTTATTACCCTTTTGGGGAAAGTACGGGGGAATTTTAGTTATATAAGGTTTTCTGGTCGAGTGAGTATTGAAAGAATTTTTCAGACTCCATTAAGCTTAAGGTGACTGATTGTTTACTTTAGTGGTAGTCCAGAGTTCATGCCCTTCGCTAACAGTTTGGGGGGCATGACATTTTTGATGTGGTGATTTACATCTATGATATTTAAAATCGATAAAATCAGTATCTGAATTTGTTCACAATCAATCATTTTGATCATTTCATACAAATTATGCATTAAATAAGGATAAAATAACAAAAATATCCTCAATTTTTGCCAAATTTTTTTTTTCCTTTACCTCTTGGTGGAACAGGGTTGTCCTTGCTGAATTCAAGAGATGTCCAGTGTAATGGTTCAGCTTTAGCCAGGCGAATTTCAACTTTGGTGGACAGAACGTCAAGTCTGCACTTTTCAGGTATTATCTTTCCAAATAAGCGAGGTTGAAAATAATACGTATCTTCACCAGCAACATCAATGCTAACACTTAGTTTTTGTTCACCAAACTCAACATTAACGTCTTTGGCTGGAATGCCCTCGGTGAATATAGTCACAACCACTTCTTCTGGCTTCTGGTAGAATTCATGCCTGTACTTTGGTTCGACAGATGCAACGGCCAACTCGAAGTGGTCACAACCACTTCTTCGCACGCTTTTTGAGATCGGAAGCCATAGGCGGACAACGGTCCGTGTGGACTGAGGGAGATGGAAGAGTCTAGAAAAAAAGTATACGACTATGGTTAATTCTTGATTTCTTTACGTCTTTGAGATAAGAAACTAAATACAATTTATAGAATTTAATAAAATACAAAATACGTTGATAAATTAATAAACTTTTAATTTATCGATTATTTAATATTTTGCTAAATAATAGTCCTCCTGGGTCTCGAGGCTATTAATTTAAAGAAGTTTAATTATATAGAAAACCAAAAATAAAAACAGGACAAAAAATAAAAATAACCAAAACAGTTCTTAAGAATTTTTTTTAAAAACAATTTTCTTTAAGACTCAAAAACTTGTTTGGTACGCAAATTAAAAATTTTAAATTTTACAACTCAAGGCACCGCTTTAATTTATGGACACGTACTAGCCAGGGCTTTTTTTTTTTGTTTTTTTAGCACATCGATATTTTTACAATAATTATGTGAGGGAGAGTTTAGCTAAACTACATAATGGACAACTTAATTTTGGTATCAAATTTGTCATTCACAAAATTCGAACCTAAGACATCTCACTTCTAAGTAAAGAGAAATATTACTAGACCATAGTACTGAGCGACTAGGCAGGCCTTTTATATGAGAGAAACTTATGTCTAACAGGGGTGTTTTAGCTGTTAGATTTTTGTTCAAAAAAGAAGAAGATATAATGGTTAAACAACCTGAGCATATATACTATATCTCATACTCCAAAACGCCTTAGAACTTTTGTTCGTAGTCATAAGTATACGCCCTTTTTGTGTAGGGAATGAAAAAAAAATAATGATATGGTTTAGTACACCAAGTATTATATAATTGGTTGAAATTTTTTCAAATTTCCAACCACATATGTTATAACTAGATGCACCAGGCTGTGTTTCCGTCACTTAGAAAATCTCTCGGATAAGGAGGAGGATTCTCTTCACTTCTAATCTCTCTCCCCCCTTCCCTCTCCTCCTATTTGAACAATCACAGTTAAGACACATCAACATCTTATATTGATTTATTTATAGAGATAATAAGACAAAAAGTAATGTGCGAGAGAAGGAAATAGATGAAGATGAGAATGAGAGAGGAGATAATCCTATTTCCTCGGAGAATGGATCTTGATCCTACACGCGTCGATTGATTAAGAGAACACATGGGCTTAACCAATTTGGCAGCCTTGTTAGAATTTCCGAGTCAAAGTGTTGGACGTGTAAACTAATCTGAGATCCAAAGTTATAGACTGGTACTTTTCCTTCCCCTTTCGTGATGGACCATACCTTATGATTCATGAAATTGGAAAATTCTCTTTTTTTGTGTGCCACAAAACATACTGCTACTGGCTACCGCTCTCAAGTACAAACCGCAGGCTTTGTAATCTTCGGCTGACTTCGCAAAAAGCAGAAGAAGAAGAAGAAGAAGAAAGAAAACACATTTATTAAGAGAAATCCCTATGGTTTTTGGAAAGCCAAACTTTTGTGTCACAATCTTTGACTCTCTCATCTGCCAAGAGAGTATTGTCATGCACCTTTCTGTGAATGAGGACACCCACCCAAATGAATTGTGCCTTGTTCAAATCACACCACAAATACTCAATTGCTTGGTCAGTTGGCTGGTTCGATCATTTAATATTAATAAGCATATCAATCAGACATGTTATTCATATTACACTGTCGCAACTTATATAGCTTCATATTACACTGTCGCAACTTATATAGCAAGTAACTGACGACGTGATATTATCTAATTGGCTCGTTTTATGGTATGACCCTAGTTGAATGCTTTGGCATACACATTTAAAAGTATAAAAACAAAAAAAAAAAAAAATTAGGCATCACTTGAAAATTGCAACCAAGGGCTATATTTTTCTAGCTGTTAAGTGTTTACAAAATGTTACACTACAGCAAGGTTAGATAGAACCCCCTAAATCTCTAGTCTTTTTACAACCCCCAATGGTAAAAATCTTAATTAAATCCATTCAATTTATCCCCTAAAAATTTGACAAAATTTGAAGAAATAATTCAATTCTTTCTTTAATGGGAAGGAAGCACATTTTACTCACTCTTACTCTGCAGACACAATGGAGTTTCCACCACCAGAGATGTTGCCGGGGCTGTCATCGCAGAGAGCAAACGCCATCTCCAAATTCGCCACAATGTCCGCCATCGTCGGCCTATCTTTCCCTTCCAAATTCACGCAATGCACTGCGGTATACGCCATCAGCTCGATCGCCTCCGATTCATTCACCTCCGGCGGCCCAACCCTCCTGTCCAAAACCCTCACCAACTCCCCGCTCATAATCGCCGGCACTGCGAAATCCACCACGCTTATAGGCGTCCCCTCGTTCTCCGCATCCTTAAATATGGCCCTCTTCCCCGTCAGAAGCTCCAATAGCACCACACCAAATCCATAGACATCGCTCTTTGCTGTCAACAAGTTGAGTCCATAGTACTCCGGATCAATGTAGCCAACCGTCCCTGCCGCCTTCGTTGGCCTAAAATCCGCCTCTGAGTCCGGCCCCATCAACGACAACCCAAAATCAGACACCCTCCCGGTCCAATTCGCGTCGAGCAAGATATTCGATGATTTTATATCTCGATGAATGATAGGCGGCACGGCGTAATTGTGCAGATACTCAATGCCTCTTGAAGCATCCAATGCAACCTTGATCCTCACTCTCCACGAATTCAACAAACTGCTACTCCTCTCCACATTGTTCTTGTCATGCAAGTGATTGAAAAGCGCACCGTTTTTCATGTACTCATATACCAAAAGCCTCTCATCCCTCTCTTCGCAATATCCGACAAGCCTCACGAGGTGCTTGTGATGAACTCTCGACAAGAAGGCAACTTCCGAATCGAATGCCCTCTCCTTCTCCTGAAACTTCTTCATCTTCGAGGCGGTTTCGCCGCGCTTGATCGCAACTTCCTGGCCGTCTTGCAGTTTGCCCCTATATACAACTCCGAAGCTTCCGGAGCCAATCTTGTTCTCCATTGAGAAGTCATTCGTGGCGGCCGTGAGCTCGGACAGTGAAAACTCCTCCGCCCTGTCAGGGTGCTTCGAGGATGTTCCGCTCCTCTGCCGCCGCATGATCCTCGAGCCCTGGTGGCAGATGGTGGACGATCTCGACGGAGGACTATTGTTTGACGTTGTCCCATTGCCATTGTTTGAGCTTGCAGCTCTAGTAATTGTCGGCTGAACAAAGAAATCCAAAAAGAAAGGGTTGAGGGAGAAAGAGAAGAGAGGAGGAAATAAAGTAAGATGATTGGATGAAAGAGAAAGAAGAGAGGATCGAAAGAGATAGAGAGGAAAAAGAATGAGAGAAAGAACCGAAAGAATGAAGAAAACAAATTGAAGGAGAGACGAAAAAGATCAAAAAAAAAAAAGAAGGGGGCGAGAGAAGAAAAGAGATAGATTTGGAGTGAGAGGGGAGGAGGGAGAGAAAAAAAAAAAGAAGTTTTAAGTTTAAAAACTCACTTTTTGTGTTTTTGGAGAATAAACTATATTTTTGAGTTAGTTTTGAATTCAGTTTTTGAAAATAGTTATACCAAACAAGTTTTTAAGGCCTAAAACTTGAAATGAAAATAGTTATACCAAACAAGTTTTTAAGGCCTAAAATTTGAAAATTGTTTTTGAGTTTAAAAAGTTGGATTCAAGTTAAATACCAAACATGCCCTAAACTTAGGTGCTAATATTTGGCAAATATAAGATATAACTCTAATAATTTCGGAAGTACAAACCTCGTCAGATGTAATATTGCTTGGTACGGCAACAATCTCGTCCTTGCTAGAGTATGCGTCACCGCCATCACCATCATCCCAGACTAGATTAACTCCTGTTTTCATCAATCGCCCCATCCCACCCAATCTTGTCGTAACTGCAGAAATCGAGACTTCGTCCCCACTTTGCAAACGGAGTACATCATGTGATAATACACTTTGCAAACGGAGTACATTACCCAAACTGGATGTAGATTCTTCCGGGATGTGCAAAGCCTTACCCTTGGTAATATTTGTAACAGTAAATCCAGGACAAATCCACTCGAAAACACAGCACAGAGTCAATCCTCTAAAATTACGACCCAAATATTGAGGCACTTTAAAATGAACATCATTGGACTCATGAATACCAACAACCTGGAACCACTCTGGAATATCATAAACTCCATTGAGAAAAATAATGCCACCATGTCCGAAGGAAGTCAATCCCTAGAGCATACCATGTAAAGCCAGATTAATTTGTAGAAGGCAAAAGTCTTAATTATGCATGCGTGTGTCATGTACAGTGCCTCTGTGGGCGTGTGATAGAAGGAGCAAGACAATACAGCTCTCAGAGAGAGATCTGTAGGATGTTCTTCCTAAAACTCAGCATGTACACGTCATTCTTATGCATAAGTAATATATTCTAGTACATGCATGTCTTACGCGTGTATGTGTGCATGTTTGTGTGTGCGTGAGAGAGAGAGAGAGAGAGAGAGAGAGAGAGAGAGAGAGAGAGACCTGTATGATGTTCTTCCTAAAAGCAGCAGTGAGATTGGTGCAGCCTTCCATATGAATCCTTCTCATGGTGTTTAACGACTCATGCAAGCCTAGAATCTCAGTGAGTTTGGGGGAGAAATCCAGATGCAGTTCAACCATACTCGACATTTCCGAAAAATTTGGCATTTTTCCAAGTGAAATGCACTCATTCGCTCTCAAGATTTCCAAATTTGTTGGTAAATCTGGGATTTCACGAAGACGGTTGCAAAAACTCAAATCTAACATTTTAAGCTTGGAGAGTCCACTGAGGCTCGGTAGGATTTTAAACGAATTGCCATCAAGCTTCAATATTTCTAAAGAAAATAGACTCCCAAGATCCTTAGGGATTGCATCATCAGTTAACCCGCAGTTTCTAAGGCCTAAAAATGTCAGGTTCTTCAATCCTACTATTGAAGATGGTACTTGCCTTACCCTTGTATAGCATGCTTGAAGTGTTGTCAATGATACCATCCCCCCTAAGCTGTCATCCAGCATTTTTAAACCTGAACAGCCGTTAAGAATAAGAGTCTCAACTGACCTTGACTTATAGAAATCCCGTGGAAAATACAGAAGCGATTCGCAGTCTTCAAGATTTACCAACGAAAGTCTTTCAAGATGCCCAATGGATGGGTGAATCTGAGACAATTTTGTACAGTTTACCAATATCAGTTTTTCAAGATTTGGGACTTTGGAAAGATCTGGTGATTCTGTTAGGTCATGGGAATGACTGAGATTGATGATTTTCAGATTCATGAGCAGCTGCTAAGAAAAAATAGATAACAAAATAAAAATTCAAATACAAGAGAGAAAGCAAGATATTGGTATTCACAGAAGCTGAAGAAAATAATTAATAATTTGTTTGAGATCGTATCATACCACGTCAGTATCCTCCCAAACTCGTTTGAGTTTGCTATAGCTCAGGTCAACAGCAACTAGGTTTGGCTGATCGAAATCTAAAGGTATGACCTCCAGAGGAAATCCATGCCAACACAACCATCTTAACTCTTTGGAAAAATTGTTGCAACTTCCAGTGAGCTTTGTGTGACTGAGTTTGAGCAATCTTAGACTCCGCATCTTTCTAAATGCTTCTGTACTGAACCATGAATTATAAGGAAAAACTAAAGCAAGTCCTTCAATTGCCACAGTTCCCTATTCAAGGAAAAGAAAAAACGGAACAAAGTAAGACAAAATTTACTTTCACGTGACAAGAGAATTTATACACATGAAGAAAGCAATGAATTAGATGCATGAACAAGAATTCAGTTGTGATTTACATTTTACCAAATTAATTAGGTATCTCAGTCGGCATCGGTTACACGCGTGTGCCCTTAATATTGTTTTGGACTTCTATTTCTGAATTTAAAAAAGGAAAAATATGGGTGGAGGGTTGGAGGGGTGAGTGGTAACTGCTTCAGCATCTACTGGTTGGGTTTGGCGTTTTTAATTTTAAAAGTTAATTATTGAAATAATAGGAGGCATATAGTTATCCCTTAATGAAGTTCATATTTAACATGAGATTTGATTGCCGAAGTACTTACAGATTGTTTCACCAATATGTCTTTTACATCCACATGATACCACAATCTACTACGTTCTCCAGGATGGTCAGGGCATTGTGCATGTACGATTTCTCTGGCCATGTCTCGAATCAAGTTATGCATCATCAGATTGCCTCGTGTATCAACAGTTACAAGGCATTGATCTTGGAGTTCTCGAATTCCTTTTTCTGGATATAAGTCACAGCCATCCAATATTGTCGTGACATCGTTCTTGTTCATTCCAATAAAGAAACAGCCTATATCCAGGAATACATCCTTCACCAGGTCATCATTTAGCCTATCATAGCTTGTCTTAATATTTTCCAGAATTACCCTATAAGGCTGTGAGCTTTTCCATTCATGCAGTACAGTTCCCCATCCACTTGTGCTTGTTGAACGTAGATAAGAACCTATGACTTCAAGTGCTAGTGGCAAACCCCCACAGTAGTCAACAGCTTCTCTTGAGAGCTCAACGTACTCTTCATTAGGATAATTCTTTCTAAAGGCATGCCAACTAAATAGCTCAAGAGCTTCTTCTTTATTCATTTCTTGCAAAGGACAAATCGCCTCCACGTTAAGTATCTTTAGCAAATGTTGATCCCTTGTTGTTACAATAATTCTACTTCCTGGGCCAAATGAGTCATGCCTTAGAGCTAATGCATCTAACTGTGCATCGCGGTCTACGTCATCTACTATAACAAGTACTCTTTTGTTGCCAAGTCTTCTTTTAATCTCCTTGGTCCCTTCATAGATCCTACTAACCTTCATGTTTCCCGATCTCAAGATATCAGAAAGAAGTTTGTTTTGTGAATCAACCAGTTCCTCATCTTTTCTCACATTTGGAAGAAAACTTGTACCATCAAACATGTGCTGATATTTGTTGAAAATTACTTTTGCAACCGTTGTTTTACCCAGTCCGCCCATACCCCAGATTCCAATGATACGGACATCATTTGATCCTCCAACATCTAAATAATTACTGATTTCTTGCACGCGAGAATCTATTCCAACTGGGTGTATGGCTACGTCCAAGTAATTGTTCTTCAGTTCTCTAATACTGAATCCTTCATACCTGGTAGGTAAAATTCAATTCAAAATTCATCAAAAGTAAGATCTACTTAAAAAATGGCACAATTAAATTGAACTAATATCTTACTCACTATGACGACAAAGCTTGGGAGTGGAAGATTTGAAAGCCCAAATCAAAATCTTCAAAAACCATTAAAGCATTATGAACTTCAGAAATTATATTTATATATGCATAAATGTGTAAAATCAAATATTTGATTCATGTGGTTAGCTCAATATCTGACCATAAATAACACAGATTTCTCATGGAAGAGTCTGGAAGCTCTACATTGCAATGTTTAAAATCAAATACCCTAAGCCGTAGTTATATAAGTTCATTGTTTGTTGACATTTGATAAATATGAGAGTTAAATAGACCAAAACATTATGTAGCCAATTAATAACTTCTGCAAGAAGGAACTAAGGTACAGGGAAAAAAATACAAAATACGGGAAAGGAAAAAAGAGATAAGAAAGTACCCATCAGCTCCCAAGAACCAAACCGGATGTAGGCCAAAATCATAGAGATTAAAGTCTGAATCATGCATATTCTCTTTCATCTCTTTGTCCCATACTAGATTAACCCCTATTTTCTTCACTCTCACAGAAGCATCTGCAGTTTCAACAGGCATTACAACTATATCGACCTTGTCCCCTCCTTGCAAACTTAGCACATAGTTCGATATATGCCCCTGCCAAAGATAATGGTCATCAAGTGTACAGGAAGTTGGTACCGAGGCATATGTTATCCGGGCGAGCAAAGCAGTACGCTTGGTTTTATTGCTAACGATAATGCCGAGAGGACCTTCACGTTGTGTCTTTGAAGAGTATATGCAGCACAGAGTCAACCCGCTAAAATTGCGACCAACAATTTGAGGTATGTGAATACTGACCCGATCACCCTTGACAAAATCAAACCAGTCAGGAATATAATTTCCATTGAGAAAAATGCCACCATATCCGCAAGAAGTCCATCCCTGTACCATGTAGAGCCAGATTTGTAACAACAATACATTGTTATGCATGCACGTGTCATATATATGGTGTCATATACAAGTGCTTCGGTGTGTGTCGTAGAACGAGAAAGAGAACAGGCTAGAGAGAGAGAGAGAGAGAGAGACCTGAAGGATGTTCTTCCTAAAATCAGCAGTGAGATTGATGCACCCTTCCATATGAATTCTTGTCATCGAGTTTAATGACATCTCCAAGCCCGGAATCTCGGTGAGTTTGCAGGAATGACTTAGATACAACTCTCTCATATTCGACAATTTTGAAAAATCTGGCACTGTTTCTAATGCAGTGCACAAACCCGCTCGCAAGACTTTCAAACTTGTTGGTAAATTTGGGATTGCATGTAGGTTTGTGCAATCATCTAAACACAATGTTTCAAGCGTAGAAAGACCACTGAGGCTTGGTAGGCTACAAAAACTATTTTTTCGAAGATCTAAATCTTCTAAAGAAATTAGACTCCCAAGATCCTTCGGGATTTCATCATCTGTTAAAGAGCAGCATCCAAGATCTAATTTCCGTAAAGAGTTTAAGCCATGAAAAGAAAGGGGCAAAAGACTAGTTGATGGTGACTCTTTCACTCCATATTGAGATGAAAATCTCAACTTTAGTATTTGTCTTATAGGTGAGCCATCTGCTGTCTTATGGTAACTCTTTCCCAAGCCTTCAGCCAAGTCTTCAAATCTTGAACAGCCGTTAAGAAGAAGAGTTTCAATAGACTTGGAATTAAAGAAATTCAGTGGGAGATCCTTGAGCATTTTGCAGCCTTCAAGATTTACCAAAGTAAGTCTTTCAAGATTCCCAATGGATGAATGAACCTCGGACAAACTCTCACAATCATTCAAAATCAATTCCTCGAGATTTGGGAGTTTTGAAAAGTCTGGTGTTTGTGCCAGGTTATGGGAATGACTGAGATTAAGAAGCTTCAACTTCTCGAGCAACTGTTAGACAAAAGAAAAAAACCAAAATAAATACAAACAGAAAAGAGGAAGCAAGGAGTTCATGTTTATGAAACTTGGAAGAAAGAATAAATAATTTGGTTGAGGCCATATCATACCAAATCGGAATCCTCCCAAACTCGTATGAGTTTGCTATAGCTCAGGTCAATAGCAACTAGGTTTGGTTGATCAAAATCTTTTGGTATGACCTCCAGAGGAAATCCATGCCAACACAACCATCTTAACTCTTTGGAAAGATTGTGGTAACTTCCAGTGAGCTTTATGTTATTGAGTTTGAGCAATCGCAGACTCTGCATGTTTCTAAATGAGTCTGAACTGAAGCTACGCTCATCAGACTCTTGCACATCTAAAGCGAGTCCTTCAACGTCTTCCGTTCCCTATTACATATAAATAATTAAAAGTTAAAATAATTAAAAAAACCAAGAAAAGGGTTATTGGCACGGGAAAAGACGATTAATTCATATATCAGAACCACAAAGCCCTGAATTGGATGGATGAACCACATGAGAGGTAGACAATTAGACAATATAGAACATGGGACCTCTCATAGGCAATTTTTATTATATATCTACTATGATGTGCTTATATATATATATATATATATATCTACGCTATGTACTTATATATATAGGGGTGTGCTATCCACACACCCCTTTTTACTTCTCTCACACCCCTTGTTAATTTCTGTCCTTTGATCTTCTTCAATTCATCCAATCCGACGGCCGAAAATTAAAAGGGTGTGAGAGAAGTAAAAAGGGATGTGTGGATATCACACCCCTATACACACACACACACACACACACACACACACACTATAATGTGCACATATGTCTGGATAATAACCATAGAGTTGTCCTTTACAACTATCTACATTAGTTATGTATCTTTAGCAAGCTTCTGTTACAGGTATCATATTTAACAAATTGCACTTAAGAAGAGCAGGACATGTTGATTCTGCTATTTAATTTGAGAAAATTCAATACAATCGGCTCCTTTGTTGTCTCTTACAGGTTCCTTTCTCTGCTACATTAGTATGTGCATTTAACATCAAATTTAATTGCAGAAAGTACTCACAGATTGTTTTGTCAATACGTCTGTTATATCTTCATTATGCCACAATCTACTACGCTCTCCAGGATTGTCAGGGGATTCTGCACGCACAATTTCTCTGCCCATGCCTTGAATCAAATCATGCATCATGAGATTGCCTTCTTTATCAACAGTTACAAGGCATTGATCTTGGAGTTCTCGAATCCCTATTTCTGGATAAAACTGACAGCCATCCAGTACTGTCATGACATAGTCCTTGTTCATTCCAGTAAAGAAACATGAGATGTCAAGGAATATAGCCTTCACGTCATCATCAGTTAGCCCATCATAGCTTATTTCAAGTCTTCTGTGAATTTCCCGATAAGGCTGTGATCTCTTCCATTTATCCAGTACAGTTTCCCATTCACTTGTGCTTTCTGTACGTATATAAGAACCTAAGACTTCAAGTGCTAGTGGCAAACCTCCACAGTAGCCAACAGCCTTTCTTGAGAGCTCAATATACTCTGCATTAGGATAATTGTTTCTAAAGGCATGCCAACTAAGTAGCTCAAGAGCTTCTCTTTCATTCATTGTTGGCAGAGGACATATCTTATACACATTAAGTATCTTTAGCAAATGTTCGTTTCTTGAAGTTATAATGATTCTGCTCCCTTGACCAAAGGAGTCAGGTTGTATAGCCAAAGCATCTCTTTGTTGAACGCTGTCTAAATCATCAATTACGACAAGTACCCTTCTGTTGCCTAACCTTTGTTTTATCTCCTTGGTCCCTTCATTGATACTACTTACCAATATGTAGGCCGGTTTCAAGATATCAGAAATAAGTTTTTTTTGCAAATCAACCAGTTTCTCTTCGCTCGCGGTTTCAAGGAAACTTGCACCGTCAAAACTATGATGATGTTTGTTGAAAACGGCTTTTGCAACCGTTGTCTTACCCAGTCCACACATACCCAAAATTCCAATTATGCGAACATCATTTGATCCTCCAACATCTAAATGCTGACTAATTTCTCGCACGCGAGAATCTATTCCAACTAGCTTGGTAGGTAACACTAAGTGATTGTTTCTGCTCAGTTTTCCAGTGATCTGAGAAACAACGTTCCTGATAAAATTTCCTTCATTCCTGGTTGTTAAAATTCAAAAAAGCGAAAGTAAAAATTTATTATGCGACTTCAAGATCACATTAATCTTTCAGAAATTGACGAGTCAAAATCTCCAGATACTATTACAATTTCTTAAACTGAAATCTTTGTTGTTAAATTTCAACAAGGCAAAAGTGAAAACTTAAGGGCCATTTGAAAACCATGTCGTTTTCGGTTTTCAGTTTTCGTTTTCACTAAAAATATATAAATAAATAAATTTATAAAATTACATTACTGCTTACTATTTTTTTGTGGGATAGAAGATTAAATAGTCCTTTTAGTCTATTTTAATTGAGAAAGAGATTTTTTTTAATACATCGATATTTTTACATTAAGAAAATAAGAAGTGCGGCTAAGTTATTTATACAATGAACAACCTAATTTGATATCGAATTCGTCATATATGATATTCGAACTTAAATCTCTCACTTCTAAATGAAGAATTATACAATCAAATCATAGCACTGAGTGTCTAGTGCTTAGATAAGGAAAGGAATCATCATCGGATCTCTTCCTCTTAATCTACCAAGTTCGAAAATCTGAACTATTAAAATTTTATCCAACTGCTAAAATTATTATAACTTTTAAATTAAGCCCTATTAAATTTTAATGACCTAGATCTTGAAAGATTAGAAGAAATGGATCAATAAATAAAATCGAAGGGAAATTTCAGCCACACAAAGTAGAGAAAATAAAAAGGAAATAAGAAAGTAATTACCCGGCAGATTTGGTTCCAACACCGTCGGTTTCTCGAAAATTGAATCCGGCCAAACTTCCAGCTTCATTAAGAGCGTTTCTCCAGAGAAGTACCTTTTCATCCTTAACTTCCTGTTCATATTTCTGAAACGCCTGTGCAAAACTACCACTCTGGTTCACGACATCTGAGGAATCAACACCATAGAAGATTGGAAAAACCATTTGACCCAGTGTTTTTCTGCACTCCATGATCTTCACCAGCTCCTCGAGACACCACGCGGACTCCGGATACCCTCTTGAGAAGACGACGACGGCAACCTTAGACCTTTCGATTTCTTGAATCAGGTGTTCTGGTATAGCTCTATTACTTTTTTCTAGCTTGTAATCGTATTCGTCTCCGTACATGAAGACGTTGAATCGGTGGTCTTCTAATGTACAGTAGAGGTGGTCCGTGAAGGTCGTGCGTGTGTCTTCACCTCCAGAACTCAAGAACACGTCGTACATCGGATCATCTTTGGACGATGAATCCATCAATTGTTACTCCAAGGATGTCTTGGCAGGCAGCACAGATCAAATTTGAGATCTACAGACAACCGTAGGGTAAAGTAAACTCAAAACTCCGAAAAGAATAGTGGGAACTGGCTAGTAACGAGTCAATTACGATTGATCGACCCACCCATTTTATTTTTTTGATCCAACGGTATCAAAATGCTCAGCAAGGAAGAAAATATTTTTTTAAACCAATTTTTTAAAGAGAATTTTAACTAAAATTATTGATATTGTTTACTTTAACGAAAAATTATATTTTTACACTAAAAATCAATCATTGTACTATTTATTTTACTCTTTATTTTTTTTCTTGATCGTTAAAGCTTAAAATTTTCAAACCTTTTTAATTACTATTTTTTTTTAAAGACAAAATAACAGTTGCCTGCTAAATCGTCCCACTCCTTCATCTCAAAGTAATACCTCAAATTTTAATTTTGGAACAATCTCATATTTTCGTTAATCTTTTAAGGACCTTGTTAAAACGTGACGTGGCACTTGATTGGGCAATGACAATGCAAAATGTGGCACTGTGGGCCCCACATGGACCTATAAAACAATTAAAAATTAAACAATATTTTTTGCCTAGCCCTCTTTCCAGTAAGAAGAACGAATAAACAAAAAAAATATTATAACCTCCATCTTCTTAAAAGTCTTTATCACCCACAACTTCTCCAGCCACCCCCGCATCTCCTCTGACAACCCACACCCACGCTTCCTAAGCCGCCATTTTTCACACACCCAGAACCCAAATCCTCCACTTTCCTCACCGCCTCCATCTCATCCTTCGACTGTCTCTCTACCATAGTTATCTCCTTCACCAAACCCACAACCTCTCTTGCTGGCATAGCCGTCGATTATGGCAATCCAGATCCGAAGACCACCTTCTAGAAGATTCCACGGCATGTTGAATATGGCCATGATGGTGATCGACTGCTTGGATTTGGCTGCGGCGGTGAGTGGGTTGTCTGCGATCGAGTACCCTGACTGGATTGGGACGAAACGATGACTTTAGATCTTGGCTTCGTCCGTACAATTAGGAACCGATTCTTTGAACCAGGAGGGGTCCAAAACCTTGGCGACATCTTCAGATCTCGGTATCGATGGTGAAGATGAGCTGTTGGAAATAGCTCGCTGTAGCGAACCAGATCCATTGCGAAATAGATCTTGGACTTGTTTGCCATGACCTTTTTAGAGTTGGATAATGTTGGGTGCTTCACCATCCTCATCACAGAGGACGATGTTGGGGTTCTTTTTTAGGTTTTAGGTTTTAAATTTTTTAATGTTTAATTTTTAATTTAAAAAAAAATTAATATCCATGTAGGTCATATTGACATCTAGCACCTATTCATTATCTACATAAATGCCATATCACCAGTTAACGACTTCCTTAACAAAAAGACTAATTGAAATATGAGACAATCCCAATATTAAGACTTGAGGTATGACTCTGGGAAGAAAAAAAACTTCATATACCAAATGTTGAAAACCAAGAAATATTAAGGTAGTAAATTGAGCTTAATCCTTGTTTTATATTATGAATACTTTACTCGCTCCTTACTTAGTTTAGTATTTTATATTATTAATATTTTATTAGGTAGATACATGTTGGGCAAATCAGACACTCTGCACTCTCAATCAAGGTTCTAAAAAAAGTTAGGTGCTAGTCGGGTAGCACCAGTTGGCGCCTAGCGCCTAGGCCGCTAAGAGGGTCTAGGCGGGCGGCCTACGCAGATTTAGATAAATTTCATTATATCTTGTGAATAAGGGCATATTGACACTTACAAAAAATTATACTTGTATGAAATCTATGGATAAGATAATAAAAGAATGATAAAATGGAAAAAGAGTATCCAACAAGTCTAATTTAAAAACACATTAAGCATATATGCCATATAACCATAGTGAGGAGTATTGTAGGATGACACATGTATTACAAGTTCACAACTTAGACTTAGATAGGATATATATATTTTGTTAATTTCAAAAAAAAAAAAAAAAAAACTGCCTAGCCGCCTAGCATCACCTAGTGCCACCTAGAGCCCAATCGATTTGCAAGAAAATGCCTCAGGTCACCACCGCTTAGCACCTAAGCTGTTTTTTAGAACACTGCTCTTAATTGAGTGTTGAGCAAAAATAAGGATGAGGTCTCCTTTGTGAGGATCTTAGAGATTTTCACATTTTAACTGTTTTGTACGATCAGTTTTCATTCAGTACTATTTGTGTTTAATTTTAAATAAAAATTTAAAATGATTTCTGACTGCACGATATACGATGAATGACTAGAATTGGATCCCCACAATTTGTATCCGGATGGGATCCAAATCCCAAAAACAAGTCGTAAAAGAAATGTAATAAACAATTTACTCAATAAAATTTTATTCTCATTTGTTTTTTGGAAGATTATTAATTTTGAGGTCGACTCATTCTAAACAATGCGTTTATTAATCACACCTTTTTTTTTAATAACGAAATACGTTTTGCTTCTAACATGATAAAAATGAATTTTGGAGATCAATGTCTTTATTTGATTTTGCGGCTGCACTTAGGTGGAACCCTAGATTACCTACGTACCTTTTTTGAGGGATCAAGCCACTTGTTCTTCATCATTTTCAATGAGTGAATGACTCACTGAAAAAGAAAGATTTGGTTATGTTGATAATACACTGATTACGCATCCTTCGCATAATCAAACTGGCATAATTCTAGATTTTCGATGAGTGAATGACTGAAAGAAAAATTTTGTATTTTGGTGAATTTGGTTGAAAGAACTTGGGATTTGATTTGAATTTGGATTTTGTGGTGAATTTGGTTGAGGTGAACCAGGGATTTGATTTGGACTTGTTTTAGGTTTCGTGCGTTTCCATCTAGATCGAATCTAAATTGCCTACACCCTTAGGGGATCAAACCTGATGTAGTTTAGGATGTTTTGTGTGCGCCATTTTGACCAATTCGGTAATTTTCACGGGAATTTAACCCATTAATGTGACATGGTTCACAACTGCTGAATTTGAGGTAATTTGCATCCATGATTTTTGAAGATTCGTATCCACTGATGTGACACGGCTCGAAGTTTTCTCCATGGTTTTCTTTATTTTGGACTACTTGGACTTAGTATGCCTTGACCAAGCCGTTTCATTCTTGGTCCTGTTTGATTCATTAGGCCTAAGTTTGAAAGCTACGACCATATCCAACCGACCAAGCCAAAGGGTCATAAACCAAAATATAGCCCGTTTTGACACGAAAATCGTCTCCTATTGAGAGCTAGGCCAAAAGGCTTGTGAACCCCACTAGGCCATACTTTTATCCACTAGGCCAGTGGACTGGCCAAAAAGAGCCAGCCAGCTTGTTTCCAGCAGCCCGAAACAGGGAGGCAATAGGCGCGCCCCAGCTTACTAAGACCGAAATTGCACAGATTCCAAAGACACGTGTCCCAGTTGAGAACGAAACGCACCCTAAAATCCACGGAGTAGGATTCTCTCCCCTCTTTTTTTACCTCTCCTTCCCTCCCCTCATATTTGAACGGTCACGGTTAAGCCACATCAACATCTTATATTAATTTTTTATAGAAAAAGAAAGACAAAATAGAGAATGTGAGAAAAGGAGATGGAATGGGATGGAAAGAGAAGGGTAGAGCATCCTAGTCCAAAATCCATTAGTGTGGACCACTCCTTGCAAGGCATGTGTCGTCATTCCTCAGAAACAATGATGCCTCCAAAATAATATTCACACTCTTCTACATCCTTTTCACTATTCTATACTATCTTATCTCATTTTATTTCAATTCTTCACTTTCTATTATCTTACCTCTTCCAATAATCTTTCCTTTAATATTTTCAATAATTTTCAAATGGCCACATTTTCAATCAAAGAAAGGGCTTATTCATTTAGCGACAAGTGGCACTCAAAATACATCATAAAACCATATTTTAATATGTTATTTTAATTCAATTAACCATCTTAATTCAATTAAAGTAATAAATTATTGAGGGGCCTGAAAAATAGCCCTCTTCGGTTGGAGATGGTTTTTTGTCAAACTAGCTATGTTTTGGCCTATAGCTATTTGGCCGCCTCGATTGGAGGTGGTATAAAATATAGTTTGATACTGTTCATTACAAAATAATTTCTTGCAGAGCTATAGGGCTCAACATGGCCCTTTGGCCTCCTTTCAAGCCATCTCAACCGATCCGGCCAACGGGCCATATGGCCAAAAATAGTTCGAAATGACACGAAAACCGTCTCCAACAAAGGGGTAGCCCAAAGGGCTTGTGGGCCCCACCGGGCCAAACATACCAAATCAGGCCAACCGACTGGCCCAAATGAGCCAGCCCAACCTTTTAAAACCAACAGCTACCTGGCATCTGCATGACACCATCTAGCAACAGCTAGCTGACTCCAGGTGACCATTGGATTTGAATTTTTTTTTCCTAACAAAATTAAAAAAAATTTAAAAAAATTAAAAAATTCCTATTTTGTTCCTATAAATACCTAAGTCATTCCTACACCATTTCTCACATTATTTTCACCATTTCATACTATTTTACACGATTTCTCTCCTAAATCATTTCTTACCTCTTCCAACAATCTTTGCTTCAATTTTTTCAATAATTTTCAAATGGCCGGATTTGCATTGAAAGGTAGGGCTTGGACCTAAAAAGAAGATCAAGCTCTTTGCAGGGCTTATAAGTGGGTCTCCGAAGATAGTGTGAGGGGGAGTTCTCAAACAAGTGAGCTGTTTTGACTCGTACGTCCAAAAAGTACTATGAGTTCTACGAAAGCACCACTCCACAGATTTCCCAAAACCACAAGAGTTGTTCTTCAAGATGGAAAAAACATCTTCATCCAAGTTTGAATAAATGACATCAAGCAGTGTTAAAGGTCGAAAGCAGACATGAAAGCGAAGCCAATTACTACGATGAAGTAAGTGTTGTCACAAGTTATTTTAAATATTTAATTATATTACATTTAATTTCATAAATTAATTTCCTTTAATTTTTGTAATTATATTTTCTAGGTACGCCAAGCGGAGGAATTGTATGTCAAGGACAACTCGAAACTCTTTAATCAACACGGTTGTTGGGAAATTTATAAAGGGTGGGTGTTATTTGAAGAT